GACTGTCTTCGTTAAGGATATCCATAATCTTTTTCAATGGTGGGTCGTCTTTTTGCGAGGACAGGATAGCTTGGAAACACGGTAGTTGTCGATCACGTTCTTTCCGAACACTTATAGGAGTGGTTAATAGAATACTGGGACCACTTAATGACCTGGATACCTCTTCATTCCGTCCTACTGGGTTTCGCGATAACGCGTCCAGGATATTCTTTGACCCGGGAATATAGGTGATCCGCAAATCGAATTGTTGTAGAAGTAGTGTCCAACGAGTAAGACGTGCATTTCTCAGACGACACTGGAAAAGGAACGTCAGCGCTTGGTGGTCCGTGAGCACCTGAACAGGATATCCTAGAATAAATACGCGGAACTTTTCACAAGCGAAAACCACCGACAAGAGTTCTAACTCGGTAATGGAGTAATTTCGTTCCGCAGAGTTCAGTGTTCGGCTGGCGAACAAAATCGTTCGGCGCTCTCCGTCAGACGTAAGCTTGAACAGCTCGGCTCCCAACCCGAGTATACTGGCGTCGGTTTGCAAGTAAAATACCTGATCGAACAAGGGGTGTGAGAGGTACTGTTCGGTAAACGATTGCTTCACGCGGTCAAACATTTTGAGCTCTTCTTCACCAAACTTCCAGGGAACACCTTGCTTAATGAGATTGATCAAAGGAGCAATTAAAGAAGCGTGATGATCGGCGAACTTCCGGTAGAAATTGCAGAAACCAATGAACGACTGTAGTTCTTTTTTAGTACGTGGCTTGTGAAAACTGCGGATGGCCATAAGCTTCTCGGGGTCCATGGACATCCCGGATGGACTAATAATATGGCCCAGAAACTTGATCTTCTGTTTAACGAATTCACACTTAGTGAGCTTCAGCGTCATGCCCGACGCGGCGATTTTCCGGAAGAGAATACGGAGACGTTGAAGGTGTTCGTCGAAACTGGATGATGATACCAGTAGATCGTCGACGTAGATGTGCAGATCATCCATCTTGTCTTCACAGTCTGGGAGCGACACATTAAGAACAGCTTCGAGGGCGTGACTGAACTCGGTATTGGATATGTTCAACCCGAACGGGACGACAGTGAACTGATATGTCCGACCGTCGTAGACAAACGCTGTATATTTACGGACCTCCTGGTGTAAGGGCACTTGCCAGTATCCTGCAGTAAAATCGACACTGGAGAATATAGACTTTCCACCAAAACGCGCAAGTAGTTCATCGAGAGGCGGAGATGAGTCGCGCATCGGTAGGATAATTTTGTTGATGCGGCGAGCATCCAGACAAAGTCGCACAGACCCATCGGCTTTCCCTACACAGATGATCGGGTTACTGTAAGGTGATGAACATCGTTCAACAACCCCCCAATCCAGCATCCTTTGGAGTTCCTTCTCTACCGCAGGCCGTCTGGCAAAAGGCACTGGGTATGGGCGAATTTTGAACGGAACATCTTCGGACACGGTGAACCGACACGTATAGAGCTGGTTGAGTCCAGGGCGGTCACTAAAAATGTGAGTGAATTCCTGGAGAAGACATAATAGACCTTGTCGTTGTTCAACCGTAATCTCAGCGCCTTTGGACATAAGTTCGTTGAGCTGAGTTGGTAGTGGATCTCTGGGACATACGTGGTTGTAAATATAGTTAATTTCCAAATTTCGAGGTGGTGATGAAAATCTGTCCAAACTATCCATACTAGAGAGACAGTGTTCCAATCCAGTGGGCACGACGTGTTCGGTAGTATAATGGACATTTAGACGGGTAATCTGCGCAGCTGGAACCGTCCCATCGTCGCCTTTGAATGAATATTCTTTTCCCCATTGAGGGAATTTGATGCCGTGTTCAGAATAGTCAAGAACAACTCCGTATTTGGATAACCAGTCATCTCCAAGGATGATGGGGGTAGCAAGATGTGGGACCACGAGGAAAACACCTGGGGCGTCTTTTTCAAACAATACCAGTGGCATGAATACTTGCTTCGTGATTTTCTTGCTTCGCCCACGCACGGCTGTTGAGATGGTAACTCCAGTTACAGGTAAGATCGACAAAAGCTTAGAGGTGAGAGACCGGTTCTTGATATTGGCAAAAAATTCTTCAGATATTGCCGAAACGGAGGCTCCAGAATCGAGCAAGGCATAACCAGATACACCACACACTTCGATGGGAACTTCCGGACGGTGTGGAACGTGTCCCTGGGATTCATTCGAGGTGGTGATCGGTGGGTGGCAATCGGATGACAATCCAGTCTCGTCAGGTGCCGTATTCACTGGCGAGACTGTGGTTCGTTTCCCGAAGCGTTTAGCTGATGAATCGGTTCTTCATTTTGAGCCGGAGGACGGTGATCATTTTGGGGATTTCGATTCGGACCGTTTCGGTAGTTGTTGCGATTATTATTACGCGGTTGATATCCTCTCCGGTCGTGAGGATCTCGTGTTGGCTGGTCATGGTTTCGTGCTGATGGTGTTGGCCCGTGATCTGACTGGCGGGGGCCTGGGGCCTCGCAGAAGGACGTAGATTCCTCAATCTCTGTCAATACGGCCAACAAAGCGTTCGTCGTTTGGGGGCCCCGACCGCGGATGGCCATCCCCAACGTAGATGGGTAATGCTGTATGATTATGCCAACAAGATCAAATTGATCGATGGGGGGAGATAAGTATTTAGCTTTAGCAATCCAGGTCATAGCATGAGTGTTGATCCCCACTGGTGAACGGTATTGATAGGGTTGGAAAATTTCATTCCGAATTTTTCTTTGTGTGTCTGCAGACCAAAACTGCTGGCGGAACAACCTCTTTACCTCATCATAAGTGGTCGGAACAGGCATCAGTGAATCAAACCATACTCGGGAACCTCTGGTCAACCGTCGTTGAAACAGTTCAACACGTTGATCGTCGTGTGGACAATTATACAAGAAGTATTGGTCCAGCTGGTTTAAGAACTTCTCTGGGTGTACATCCTGACGATGGCCTGTGAACTCAGACACAACATCAGTAAAACGTTCCGATTGACTAATCGACGCAGACACATTAGACTGGCCATACGGATTTGGTAATTGTCG